CCCCAGCCAGCCTTGCTGGCTGGGGAATTCTGGGAGTTGAAGTCCACACATCTTAAAGTTGCCAAGCTTGAGAAACACTGCTTTACTGGATATTTCATGAACAGGCACTGGATGAACAGACATCCATTTTAAAAGTAGTCTTCCTCTACTTTCCCCTCCTGAACCCCCTTTTAACAACGATTTTTTCTAGCCTTGTTCTTATGTCCGGGACTAATATTGTCAGTGTGAAAATAGCATGCAGGTGGCATTTTCCTTTTTCATCATCACCTAAGCAGATGCTTGGGGCAGATTCACATGGGAACACAGAGCAGATCAATAATAACCCAAGGAGGGGGGGGATTTTAAAAAGTCAGCTGTGCAAATAGATAGGGCTCCCCCACACATTTCAAAGAAACTCTTTATCAAGGGAAATGTCTGTTGAAACATTAAACAATTACAGACTGCAAAGAGACACCAAGTTATGTCCCCTAAAACAGCCTCGTAGAAATCACTCCACAAAAGTTTCTAACTTGCAGTTTAATTCTTGTTTTGCTCCCTCTCAGGCTAAACTAGCCAACATCTCTTTCTGAAAGAAAATGCTCATTGGAGCTAGGATTCGTGGTTTGTTTGCTTCCCAGGCAAACTAGAACGGTAAGACAAGAACAAACCTTGGTTTCAGACTAGGGGTTATGAATCACGAAAAATCCCACTCGCTTTACTGTCAGTGTTAGGAGATTGCTACTAAGGTGTTTCTTTTTATGATTTTAAAAAACGTGGAAAGTTTTATCACCATTTACATTCCTAAAGGCTTTCTATGCATCATAAGCTTATTTATATAACTATTAATGAAATGATTTAAGAACCATTTTTTAGAAAAAATGCAAATCAACATGCTTTCATTCTTTGGCTTATACATTTCCCTACTGTATGTTTGAAAAAAGAAATTCCCCTTTTTAAAAAAATGACTGTTTGGTGAAACTTTCAGTACAGTACTTCTTTTTCAGATACTCTCCCCTGTCTCCAGTTTTTAATTTTGGAAAATGAATGCTAGCAGATTTTTGATGCTTGCCTTCACCTCGTTTGGACTCAGATGGAAACAGAATCCCAAATTTGCTTCCAGTGAAACTCTATTATTCTGTCCCGCCTTATATCTCAAATACAACAAATACAACAAATACAGACTTAATAGTTCAAACATAACATTATACTACATTCCTTTTCCTAGTAAATTCCTGCACTGTTTATTTGCACTGGCTGGTAGGAGAAGGCAAGCAGAAGAGTTTGGTCAGCATATAACTGGCATGATGCTGCTCTAATAGTGAGCTAAAATTCTCCGTAATTCTAACTTCATGTACCATTCAATTTTCTTGAAATCTGGTTGTCAGTCTCCAAGAGTATGGCCTGAAGTTCAAAGGATGCAGATATTCACACAAGACAACAATACATTGTTGTCGAACAGCAATACATTCTACCGTATCAGGAGCAATTCTGAATAAAGAACTCTGAATTGATGCTCCAATATCAGTTCAGGAATTGGTATTTCTACCAACTGGATATATGGACAATTGGAATTTCTACCAATTGAACATTCAATTTGTTGTTCAACACAATATGCAAACATGAACATTCTTCCTCCTCGTTAATGAAAGCTGTCAGTTTTTTTCTGAGGGACCACAGCTTTAAAAATGGACCTATTGGCGTACAATAAAGGAATTATGTTTATTTTCTGAGGCATATCCAAGCAGAAAAACCTGCCTGGGAAGACACATAGCTGTAATCAAAGTACTGTTTTGCCAAACTAACAAGGAAAGTCAATCTGAAAGCCAATTGGATTACAAAGAGATTTAATTTATGCAAAGTTAAAGCAAAGCTATCATCCATGAGTCACACTAGATAGCAAAACCAAATTCAACTAGAAGAAGACCAAGTATTTATTCTACTATCTTCATTCAGCTATGATGCTGTTGAATGAACCTCAGATGAATCACGTTTTCTCCACCTACCTGCAGGATTGTTAAGAAGGTAAAAAATGCATTAATTCCATGTACCTCCAGTCTTCTTAGGGAAGCATGAAGATGATATATCATATGTCACATTCTATTTCATTTAACAATCACAGTTACAATCCAGTATCTGGCATCCAGTGCTTTATAACACAAAATTCTTGAGGAACCTTGTGTTTGTTTAAAAGAAACAGAGCAAATCTCTAGTCCTTGGAAAGCAAAAATGAAATAGTTAAGATCTTTCAAAAGATCTATTGATTAGACAGCATCTTAAAGGTGGTCTTGTTAATCAACTTGCTAAATGCCAGGTGCAGCAGTAACTTTTGGCAGATCACCATCCTTTCTCTCTTCCTTCTGCAGAAGAAAAGCCCACCATCTCACAAGTCAGGCTGTTCCACATGTTTTCTTCTTCAGTGTTGACAAGACCTGCTTGCCTGCAGTTTCTGCCCTTGCGTCTAAGTCCTGCCTTCCGTAGCAATAGAGAGCAAGCCTGTTTTGTCTCAGCTATGACGCCCGTTCAGATATTCCAAGACAGCCACTCTCCCTTTATCATTTTCTTCTCCTGCAAATTCAAAAAGCTGGGAAAAAGCAAAAGCAGGAAAGGACTGGAAGTTCAGTTTTTCCTTGGGAGGAAGAGGAACATCATTGCCATTTCCAGCCCTGAGCATCTGCTCAAAGGCACCCGTATCCTTAAGTCTAAGCTGCCTTTTATTTATTAACCCCTTTTTAAAATGTACTAGCCTTTTTTATTTATTAGCCCTTTGCTAATTTGGAGAAAGGCTATTATAGATAGACATATCAAGCAAAGCAGAACAGTTTCTCTGGCTTGCAAACTTGAACAACGAAAGAGAGAGAGAATTTTCCCTTTTGTATAGAGGAAGATCCTACATTCCCCCAAAGCACAAACTTCGAATGAAACAATTTGATGCAGGACATGAAGTTGCCATTTCTCCTCAAGAACATGGAATCATTACGCATCTTTTAGGCAGCCATTACATAAATACTATGAACATTATTTGGTGGATTTTTTTTCTCCTGTAAGAACTTTGTTGGAAGTTGAATATTTGGCGCAGTTTAATTTGGGGGGGGGGAGTCAATTTCTCACATAATGATGTTCACCAACTTTGTTTTGAGCCTGCAGGTCTCTGAAATCAGCTACTGAAGTACATACAGTATCAAATTTGGACACTGAAGGTCACAGACCTTTTGTTCTTCATTTGTTTAAAACAAATTCAAAACAATGTTTAAAATTAACAAACTCCTCCTATAGAATGCACACAAAATGGTACAATAATAATTTAGTTTGCAAAGACTTAGATCACTGATTTCGTTGCACTATTGGTTAAAATATTGTTTTTCAGAAAGAAAAGATGGCTCCAATTAATTAGAAAGGGTAAGATCATTTAGTTATTGACAAAGGAGAGATGTAAATCAGAAAGTC